ACATAAATGTGCCTATATATCAAAATATTTTATATTTCTCTGAATCTATATGAATATTATCTCAAAGAAAAAATTAAAAAGAATAGAAAAAATTTGAATATATATACATATAAACATATATATATATATATATATATATATATATATATATATATATATATATATATATATATATATATATATATATATATATATATATATATATATATATATATATATATATATATATATATATATATATATATATATTACTTTAGACTGACATTGCTTCATTTTTTATACAAGATTCTGCATTTATTATAAAATTAATTGTCGTTGAAATATAAGAAATTTTGCTTGATGAATCGAAAACTTACTTGCCAGAATTCAGTGTCAAGCAGTGTTGATGTCTATTATTTGACTTAACATTAGACACTTTTAAATAAAGATAAGTATGAATTTTACTATTTATAGTAACAAATAATAAGTTTCAATTTTAAATGATTTTAATTTTTTATTTTATTTTTAATTTTTTTTTTGTAATCTTAAACATAATTGAGTTCATTTTATTTTAGTTGTCTTTGTCATCACTTGATTATTTTGCTTACTGTTGAAACATGGTTTTAATTTTGTAAATTTAATATGATGCAAAATTTACAATATTAATCATTTGTCAACAGTTAGAGAGAAGCTGGAACTTAATTAAGAAATGCTGGAAATTAACTTTTAGTTAAGTTAAAAATAATTTTGCTTATTGGTAGCATAATAAAACCAGCTACTGTTATTCATCGCATGACTTTTTTACTTTTTCTAACATGCTGTTTTTAAAACACTTCCTCTCTCTCTTAGATGAGACTTTAATAAGAATTAGTATTAAAAATTGTAGAGAGAGAATTGATTAAACTCTGTAATTACTGAGCTCTGATTAAACTCTGTAATTACTGAGCTCTTGCGTATTTTTTAATACTGCAATTGATAATTTGCTATTTAAAGATATAATTCTTTAAATTGTCCCTTGGTTTTTCAAATATTGTAATAAATAAAATCTTTTTAGTTTCAAGTATTTTTTTTTAGGGATCGTCTATATATTATGTAACGCAAAATTAAACATATAGACAAAAGAAATATCTCAAAAACCGTGTTTCTCTCATGGTCAACTATATGCTGCATTTTCAAGAACTATAGCATTTAATAGTTTGTTTTTCAAAATTGATAAACATCTTATTTAAGGTATAGTAGGTAAAAAAATGTAACATAAATATTGTTATATTTTTTAATGTTCTTAATTTATAATCTTTAGATTTTCATTTCGAAAATTTACTGTTGAAGGTTGTGAGCACATTTTGTATGTATAACTTTATTTATCATTATTTATTTTTTTTTCATAGTTTTTGGTAAATATATCTATCATTCAATAGTTGTAAAATGTGTTTATACGTGTTACATAAAGTCATATTTGTTTATAGTTGTATATATGTTTAAATTATAAAAGTCAAAACAACAATTTCTATCTTAGTTTGATTTTTTTTTTTAGTATTGTTAATGCTTTTGTTAATTGGTACTTCGAAACAGGTTTTATAGTTACATTTTTGATAAATCCTTAACTGCAATTTCAAAATAGGTTACTATAAATAGGTAAATCGATTTTTGGTAATTGTGTGGTGGTTTTTATTTTTTTTCTTTTTGTAATTATGATATCATAATTTCATTACTTTTTTATTTTAGAATTACGTTATGACGCATTTATAAGACTTATAAAATAAAAAAAAACCTGATTTCTTTTTATTGTAAACTTTTGTTAGTTAAATAGATATAAATATATGCTATTAGTTAATTTTATATTTTATCTATTTTATGCCTAATAATTTGTTGTACGTATTTTAAGATCTTTGTAAATGGGAGGTCGTAACTAAAAGCCTTTAAAAATATGGAGAATATTGTAGTTTTGCGCATTAATATCGAGTTACTTAAGTTTTATTTATGTGTTTAACTAATTAGTTAGCTTAGTCTGTATTTGCAACACTTTTGAGGAAAGAAAGAAAACATTCTTATATATGTAGATCATTGTTCTACATTTTATTATTTTATTTTATTCACCTGGCCACCATTAAAGCAAAAAGAGGGAAGGAACCTCTTTACTAGAGTCAAAATATTTAGGAAAATTAAATTTCGAGTTACAAAAGGAATTTTTAGTAAATGGTGGCAAATTACCGTTTACTAAAAATTAATGAAATAAAGAGGCCAAACCAATAATATAGAAATGGTCTGTGTTGAACAGACTTAACAAGACCCGGGTCGGGTCAGCTTGGTTCACAAACTTTTATGTCTACTTATCTCTTATAATTTTTATTTTAGGTTTGTCATATGATGCATTAATGCATTAAAAAATTTGTTATACCCATGTTTGATTGTAAATTAAATTTTTTTTGTTTGAAAGGTATTTGTACTCAGTTGCGTAGTTATTTATAATAAACTTTGTTATTTTTAATAAATTTATTTAAATGTGTGCATTTAACATTTTTACCAAAAAATTGATAACTCCTGTATTATATAAGTTAACTTCATTTTAATCTTAATGGTTTGTGTTATAAAAATTATTACAAGGATTTAGTTGATACTTTCGTCAATTTAAAGCATGACCAAGTGTTATTATTTTGTGTCAGTAACTAAAAACGTATTGTGTTAAACTTAGGAAGGTCGATGAAAATGGTTCTGCCTTACACTGTTATGACCTATGCCATTTGTAAATTACTTAAATAATGTTAAGTTGTAATTGTAAATGATAAGTAGTAGTTGGTAAATTATTTTACCTCCTCATACTTTTTATGTTAATTTTACAGATGGATTAATTTTTTCAAGCTGAAGGTGATTTTCTAAAAGGGTATTAGTTAAGGTTTTGCAACATTAAATTGTGGAAAACAGCCACTATAAATTAATTATGTAACAGACCGACTAAAACTCGTACTACGGGTTGCTTTTTGCTAGTAAGAGATAAATAGGTGGTTCCAATTTTTAAAAACTCTAGAAAGCACACTGAACACTTTAACTATTTTACAATTAGTCTTCTCTCTATTATTAGATTTTTTTTGTAAATAAAGGTTTGAGATAATTAAATTATTTCTTTCTAACCCCTTTTAAGTTCTCAAAGACCTAAACTCGCCTTCATTTCCAGAAACTTTACTGAAAATGAGTATGATAAGGGCTACTCAAAATGAGAGTAAATAATTTGAATTGTATGTTTTACAATTTAAATACAATAAAAGTGTTACATTATGAATAACTTTCAATTGTTGATCTTTTCTAAAGTTTTTATTTTACGCATAGGCTTTAAATCAAAACATAAAAATTATATTGATTGTTTATATAAATGCATTTTGTGTAAATTACTAAAAAATATTATAAAAATATTTGTTTTTGTAGGCATGTACTTTTTATGATAAATTTAAACTAACATATCTTTCTAAAAATCTTTTAAACGATTATTACTTTGTAAAAGAATTTTTTTAAGTTTTAAGTTACTTTAATTTATGAATAAGTTTTAAACTTTTTATTACTACTTGCTTAGAACCCTGAAGAACATTTTATATGAATTATACAAGAATATAAATAACTTTATTTACTTATATAAGCATGTATTTTGTTGATTAATGGAAAAGTTGTGAAGTATTTTTTAATGTTAATATGATAATTTTATCTTAGCAAATTTTTAACATTTTTGTTTAATAACTATTTAAATTGAATGGAAACTGCATGTCTGTAATACTTAATTCTTTAAAAACATAAATTAAGAAACATAAATTAAATAACAGAATAAAGGTTCCCTGAAAATCAAACATAGATCTAGCAGTAGCAATAATAACAGATTTAGAAGCATAAAGAAAAAAAAGAAAGAAACTATAAATAAATCATTAATATTTTTAATATCAATTTAATATTGTTAAATATTTTTAAACTTTGTAATGGCATCATATTTTGCTTTGTAAAAATAGTTTAAAAAATAGAAACATTCTTTTGCACACATTCAAGAAGTGAACTAAAAACTAGTTTTTAGTTCACTCATTCTGTTCAAAATTTTATTTTTTCAAAAAAAAAAACCCTGAAATTTAAGTATATACTTAGACTTACACTAATTATGGAAACATGATTTTTTTCCTTTCACTTTATTTTAATGCAAAACCATTCAACAAAAAAATTGAATAAAAAACATCAACTTTAAAAATCTGTTGAATGGAAAAATTAATTACACCTAAATTTTTATTATTATGCTAGATCAAGAAGCAACAAAGCTTGAGAGGTATATATACATATTTTTTTTTAATTTCATTTTTTTTGATTTGATCTTATAGTTTGGTCTAAATATTGCACATGTTTTTGAGAAACTATTAAATCTAATGTTTTCATAAATTATATTTTAAATAGTTCTTTATAAATTAAAGTGGTTTAAATATTGTAATATTCGCAATTATACTTTTATCATCTTAAGTATCGTGTTAAAACAATTAATAAAAGTAATATGGTGCAACTTTTGAAATTAGGAAAAATGAGGTGGGCAATTTCTTGCTGACCTTAAACTGTTAGAGATTGGTATCAGGTCTGTAAAAAAAAATTTGATACAGGTATTACCATAAGACATAGAAACAAGGTCGGCAGTTATTTGCTGACCTTAAACAATTTTAGGACGGCAGTTAGGTCTAACTCCCTTATTTTTAGAGCTGATGGTAGTAGTAATAAATACATTTTTAACACATTTCACAATTTTAGCTTTAAATTATAATTTAAGTTGTAAATTATAGCATCAAATTAAACTCCAGCATAATTAGAATACAATGCAAAGATATGTAAAAATGATATAGGATGTTAAAAAAATAAATAAAAAAATTCTCACATTGCAGTCAGATAGGGTGGTGTTAAGAGAAAGAGTTTCAAAAAAAAATTTTAATTTTTTATGATGAAACTATTTTGCCTTAAATGGAATCCTATATGTATTATATTTCACAAAAAATATATAAACATCAAGATACCTGCAAGTAGTTTTTCCAACTCCGCCTTTACCTCCAACAAAAATCCATTTTAAAGAAGGTTGATCTAGTAAATGTTGAACAGTTGGAGACAACTCCTCATCAGCTGTTGCCATGTTACTGTGTTTTTATTTTAATTATATAATGAAAGCAAAGTTTACCATTAAATTGAGTTATGAGTGTTATAACAAAAGAATAAAAAGAAATTAAAACATCTTTGTAATAATTCAAAATATTTTTCATCATAATTATGGATTAAATATTAAAAATTATTAAAAACAAAACTGATTTAATAAAAAAAATTTTAAAATCAAAAATTACTAAGATTTAAGACCACTTTCAGATGGTTAAACACAAAAGATGGTTACACACAAAAGATGGTTACACACAAAAAGATGGTTACACACAAAGATGGTTACACACAAAGATGGTTACACACAAAAGATGGTTACACACTAGATGGTTACACACAAGTTACAAAACTTTCACATGATTACACTACTTCCACACACAAAAAAAGTATTAAAATACAAAAAAAAACTTCATGATTACTGACTTTAAAAACAAAAATTAAAACCTAGTAGTCCTGGAGCTCAAAATATATTTTAATTATAATCTTTATAGAAAAACTTTAAAAATTTAAAAGTTGTTGCAGTTACTTTTTTACTTTTACAGTCATTTTTTGGGACACCCAAAAATGTATACAGTATATATACAGTAAATTGCCATTAACTCGAACCTCCAAGGGACCAAAGAAAACAGTTTGACTAAACAAATATTCGACTTTAGCCAACTAAAACAATTGTTATTACTTTCGAAGGACTATAGAAACCTACCAGGAATTGACTGTATGTATGTATATATATATATATATATATATATATATATATATATATATATATATATATATATATATATATATATATATATGTATATGTATATATATATATATATATATGTATATATACACACATATATATATCTGTGTATGTCCGTGCGTGTGTGTACAAATATATTTATTTATTTATGTATGTATGTATGTATATATATATATATATATATATATATATATATATATATATATATAAATATATATATATATATATATATATATATATATATATATATATATATATATATATATATATATATATTCAATTAATGTCTAAAAAAAATGTTTTAATAATAAACTTGCATGATGGATATATATAAATATTATGCCACTTATTATTAATGGGGTTAAAAAGTGTTATGCTTGAAACAAGAAAGCAAATAATAACTTTTTAATTTAGGTACATTAAACAACTTTAAAATCAAAAAAGAAAAATTACAAATATTAGAAATTATAAAAAACACAGTGATTTATTGATTATCGATGATTAAAAAACAATTAAAATAACTTTCTGATCAATTAAATAACTTTCTTAGCAACATCATCATCAAAAAAATCCAATATATTCAATCGAAAACTTCAGAATTCAACAATATGAAAAATGGCTATGGCAGAGACTAGCCTGGTCTGTCAAAGATTGGAGTGAAACTATTTTCAGCAAAAAAAAGTTTTTTTGCTGTCAAGAGTTTACATAAAAAATTCAAAAAGCAATAGGTATTGCTATTGTGTACATCATATAAAAGATAGCAGTAGCTCAGTAGGCATTTGAGGATGTATTTCCCATAAAGGTGCTGGGTCTATAGAGATATACAAAAGCTCAATAAATCAGTTTTTGTACAGACACCCAGGAAACTTGCTTAAAACCATCAGTATTAAAATTCTACCAAAGATCTCCCAGCTTTCAATAACAACAAGATAGTGTACCTTGCCACACAGCCAAGAGAATCAATAAAAATTACCATTTTTACCATAGTGTACCTGATCACCTGATCAAATCCCATAAAAAACATTTGGGCTTGGGTGGACTTTAAAATGCAACTAAAGGAGGTTCTTGAAAGCGCTTGGAACTTAATTCCAAAAGAACTATGCATGAAATTGATAAAGTCAATGCCCAGACATGTTTTAAAGTCAAGGGTGACTATTTTAAGTATTAAAAATTATTATAAAATAAAATTTTATATATATAAAAAAAATTATTTTAATGAAAATGTTATATTACTTTATGTTATATTATTTTAATAAAAATAATTTTTATCGCATTATTTTTTTATATTTTTTTATTTATATAACTTTACATTACAAAAATAATTTTATATTATTTTAATAACAAAATAATAAAAAAAAAAAAGTAGTTATATTTTGTGATTAATTTAAGTCTAATTTAATTTATATATACACATATATAATAAGTAAATATATATATACATATATATATATATATATATATATATATATATATATATTTATATATATATATATATATATATATATATATATATATATATATATATATATATATATATATATATATATATATATATATAAATACATATCAGCCCTCGGAATTAGGAAAAATGAGGTCAACAATAAATTGCTGACCTTAAACTGTTAGAGGTCAGCATCAGTTTGGGAAAAAAATTTGACACAAAGGGGTTACCATAAAACATAGAAACGAGGTCAGCAATTTTTTGCCGACCTCAAACACTTTTAGATCAGCAATTAGGTTGCCAAATGCTGACCCTGATTCCGAGGGCTTATATATATATATATATATATATATATATATATATATATATATATATATATATATATATATATGCAAAGAAACTTGGGGATATATATGGCATTTCATACATATTGAAGTCTCCATTTATTGATGAGTGTCCCTAATGGCTTTAATATAATAGCAGCAGGGGCGGATGCAGGATTTTTTGAAGTTTGAGATAACTAACTTCCAGACATGGAGCGAACTCAAAACTTTTATATGTTTATAGTTATATTAAACAAGGATACTTTGCATAAAATTGAGATGATAGGAGCCTGGGAACAAAAAAGCCCCAAAATTTTTGCTACACCTGCCCCAAACGTGAGAGCAACAAGTTGATAAAATAATTTTTTTACTATTCTTAACTAAATCTATATTCATCGAGAAATTTTAAAATTCATACAATAATCTCTTAACGTTCAAAAGTTATAGCCACATAAAGTTTAAATCCCCCTCAATTTGAGGGGGTTACAAGTTTTATAAGACCATTATTATTGAACGCTAAAAGATTGTTTTACAAAATTAAAAATTTCTCGATGAATATAGATTTAGTTAAGAAAAGTAAAAAACTTGTTTTATCAACTTGTTGCTCTCACGTTTGGGGCAGGTGTAGCAAAAATTTTGGGGTTTTTTTGTTCCCAGGCTCCTATCATCTCAATTTTTTGCAAAGTATCCATATTTGATATAAATATAAACATATAAAAGTTTCGAGTTCGCTCCATGTCTGGAAGTTAGTTATTTCAAACTTCAAAATATCCTGTATCCGCCCCTGAGCAGAATAATAAAGAAACTGATTCACAAATAAACATTTCTGTTTGAGAGAAAAAATAGAAATAAATTCGGAAAATGTTTCCTGGATTGCGAACAAGACTTAAAACCAAATGTCTAATACAATATAAGACACATTCCACATATAATATATATATACTGCATTATAACTATAATATATATATATATATATATATATATATATATATATATATATATATATATATATATATATATATATATATATATATATATATATATATATATATATATATATATATATATATATATATATATATCAGCTTTGAATTAGGAAAAATGAGGTCGGCAAAAATTTGCAGACCTTAAACTATTAGAGATTGGCATCAGGTCAGAAAAAAAAATTGATACAAAGGTCTTACCATAAGACACAGAAATAAGGTCAGCAATTATTTGCTCTTTAAGGTCGGCACTTAGGTCTGGAGGATTAGGGTCGGCATTCAACAATGCCGACCCTAATTCCAAAGACTGATATATATAAGACATGTTTAATGTTTAATTTAAACTAAAGTAGAAAATTGTTGTTTAAAATTCTCTTGAAGCATTTAAAAAATTTAAAAGAATAACAATCATTAGGGCTGGTGTATTTATTTATATCAAATAGGACTTATATATTTATTAATACTTATATATTTAGAAACAAAAGTAGACTATAATTAGCAATGTATTGATAAAACAAAATTTTTTAAAAAACACACATCTGAAATAATTACAAACAAATAACTTAAAAGCACATCAAGTTGCATATCTCTTAGTCCATTCTTTTGCTGTAAGATCGTGAGTTTCCTTATCTGTTATATACTGCTGAGCAATATTTCCAACTAAAGGATCAGCTAAGAAATAAAAGGTTTATTTTAAAATGTTTCGAATAAATTAAAATTCATTTAGGTAATAATCAAAAATAGTTACCAGGGTTACAATCAGAAAGCAGAGCAATAAGAGAGATAAGAACAGTAGATATGGTCAGGGCAGGAGACCATTTATCTTTAAGAACATCCAAACAAATAACACCCTAAAAAGTTTTTTAAAATATTATAAAAAAGGGGAAAATTATTTTTAAGTAGCTCGAGCCTTTTTATGTCTTTAACCAATAGTTTGTATAAGATCACCATAATTGAAATTTCATTGAAAATTTAATGTAATATCTCACAGCATTCTAAGGTTATGACTATTTAAAAACTTAAAGACTTTTTTTTCTTGGCTATTTGCTGTCTTTTATAAAAATACTCTATTCTGATTGGCAAAAGAGTCCTTTAAAAGTTTACTGAAGAAGAAAAAAGTTGTTCAGTCATCTATTTGTTTATGTTTTGTGCTAAATTATTTATGTAATAAAAGCTCTGGTCAAAAACTCTGGTCAAAAACTCTGGTCAAAAACTCTGGTCAAAAGAATATATGATAAAATAATATATGATAAAATAATATAATTGCTAATATAATAAGAAGTTTCAAATTATTGTCAAGTGCTAATTTCAAATTACTTTGGAAATTACAATGATAAAATTTTATTTAAAATTTCAACAGGTTACTCAATAATACTCACATAATTAATTTCACAAATTTATTTCAATTAACTACTCAATCAACAAGAATTAGAAAAAAATCAACAGACTTAAAATATTTTGTAAACAGTCTGTTGATCCTCTTAATTCACCTCCTCTCTTGTCTGTTAATCATGTTTTAATCACCTCCTCTAGGTTCCACTACTATTGAAGGCTGCTACATTCAAGCAGGCAACTAAATATTTTTTAACTTTATTTTATTTACAACTCTTAACTTGGTTACAGGTTGAGCAAAGTTGTTGCGCAGCCTTGGTATATCTGTTTCCAAGTTTAATAAGAACTACAAGCAATTATAACCAGATATAATAAGTTATAATAAAAAAAAAACAGTGCTGTTGCTTTTTTATTCTTGCAATTGTCACGCTTGAGAAACTCACATGTTGTATGTAATTACTGGACATAACAGCTGGGAACCGGATTATGCAGTTAAAACATGAACAAGTTTAAAAAAAATATCATTAAATTTAAAAAAGAGAAAAAAAAATTAGAAAAGCAAAAAAAGATTACTAAACTATTATTGTGAGAATATTTTTTACTTTTTGCCATTGTTGTTGTTGTTGTTGTTGTTGTTGTTGTTGAGATTTATTTGTTCAAACTTATTTAGATGTTAAAAATATAAGCCCTAGATTATAATTATAAGATTATTTTATATTTTCTGTTTGAAGTAGAATAAAAATAAAAAATGTTTTAAAAAAAAATAGAATAAAAATAAAACTTGAAACATTTCAAGTAGAATAAAATTTTTGACATTTAAAAAATCGTTTTAAAGATATAATAAGTTTTGAAGATATTGTCACTTATAATGTATTCTTTATGGCAAATTTTGAGTTCTGAAATCTTGTTTTAATAAAAAAATTACAATTTAGATATCTCAACAACTACAAGATCAAGAAAATCTATTTTATAATAAAGATTATTTACACAGTTTTATTTATATGGTTTTAAAAATAAAAAAATATTAGGCTCAAGCTTTAAAATTTTTTTGAAAAAGTTTAATTTCATATCAAAAATTTTTCAAATTAAAAAAATATATAACAAAATGTCGAAAAGAGTCTTTTCAAGTTCTTTTTTAAAAAATAAATATTTCAAGTAATCATAACTATAGAATAGAGAATTTTAATGAAAATTGTTTTTCCATTAAACCACAGGAAGTTTAAATTTCATTAAAAAATCTAAGATAATGAAATTTTCATTAAAAAATCTAAGATAATGAAATTTTCATTAAAAAATCTAAGATAATGAAATTTTCATTAAAAAATCTAAGATAATGAAATTTTCATTAAAAAATCTAAGATAATGAAATTTTCATTAAAAAATCTAAGATAATGAAATTTTCAAAAATTTAAATAACAACAATCTCTTCATGACAAATAACATTTTATATACTTTTTATGCTATTAATAATAACAACAACAATAATAATAATAATAATAATAATTATTATTATTATTTTTATTATTATTATTATTATTGTTATTACTATCATTATAGATTAACTATGATATAAACAACATTAATGATCAAGATAAAAAGATTGACATAATTCTTAAAACAAAGTTTTAACCAACATATTACTTTTATTTGAATTTTTTTACACCTCTACGGTAATAAATATGTAAGAATAAAATGAAAGTTGGAAAAAATAACAAGCATAAAAAAATTTTAAAAAATTTGAAAATCATACCTGACTATTAATGTTGCAGTGATATATTCGAGTTTTAAAAATAACCTAAAAAATTTTCATTAAAACATTAAAATATATATACAAATTTAAATAGGTATCAAAACAAATATTGAAGTTTTATTAAACATAATTACAGTAATTGTTTGAATATATATATTTTTTAAAAGATTGCACCAAATGATTGAATTTGTCAGTTTATGTTTGGCAGCTTATATCATCTTATAAAGAATTATTTGCTAATTGATTACCTTTTTTAGCTTATTTTAATAACATTTTTTTTTTTCGGAATTCAGAAATAGACATTCAAATAGCTATATTTCAACATAATACTAGAAGATTTTGTATTTCAGACAGTGTAAAAGATTCTTAAGAAAATAAAACCAAATGTTTGAGAGTTTTTACCTATATTTAAACAATTAAAAAATATATATATATATATATATATATATATATATATATATATATATATATATATATATATATATATATATATATATATATATATATTTACATGTGAATGTTTTAAATAAAATTTATTATTATACAAATAATTATAATTATTATAAATATAAATTTATTTTATTAAGTTTAACTTTTTTTTAAAACTTAAAACGCTTGGTTTTACAATTTTTATTTTTTACTTTTAAAATTTCCAAACTATGTTAAAGAAAAAAAAATCTTTTTATTAAATTCAAATTAAGTTGCTTTTTAATGTTTGTTTTACTTATGTTATGTTACATAGTTACATGAATACACGTGAATATATTTTTTTCATCCCATTATAAAAGTGCTAATATAATAAAGTGTTTAATGCATTTAAAACTTTAAATGCATTGGCAGATCAACTATAATCAAGCCTGTAAGCAAAATTATTTTAGAGAACTTTTTTAGTAAACTTTATATAACAAATTTATGAAACGATTTTTTTTTTGCTTTGAAATTGCTTTTTAACAAAAGTTTTTTTAACCTCATTAATTTTTCAGAATCACAGAATATACATAAAATAGTGTGGTAGTGGTAGACCACTTGCTTCATAAGCGAAAGGTTCTGAGTTTGATCCCCACCATGTCCCTGGTAGTAGTGCGCTCAACTTGTTTCTCCACGCAGTGGCCTTGTTTGTCGAGGTTTGTGTTTCAGAGTTATAGAGTTAAGAGATATAATTAACTAAACTAATTAAATAATTAACTAGTTTATAAGTTGTATGCAAAGATTTTGTTAAATTCAAAATGTTAAAAAAAATTGTTTTTTTGTTTTTTTTGCCATTAAGAAACCTAAAGAACATCACACTAAATTGATCATTTGGTACAAGAGAGGAAATGATCATTTGCTCTCTTGCGCATAGATTTTCATTCAACATAAAGTGCTTTTGAATTTAAATCACTTAAAATCTCTGCGCTAAGCCAATAGTATTTTAAAGTCATATTTTGTTTGATTTACTTAATGAACAAAGTAAATCACAGTAAATTTACCTATAAAATAAATTAAAACAACCAGTTACTATAACAATGATTAAAGTTACTCTAGTTAAGTTACTCACATATTAAATACTTAATTCACACTTTATATACTCATAGCTAAATATACTCACACTTAATATACTCACACTTAATATACTCACACTTAATATACTTACACTTTATATACTCACACTTTATATACTCACACTTAATATACTCATAGCTAAATATACTTAATATACTCAAAGACTCGTTAAAGTTAGCCATACAAATGTTTCTATTTATCTTATATATTGTTAACACATAACAAGCTTTTAACTAAAAATTATTTTAACAAGAAAACTCAAGTAGAATATGAAAAACATGATTTTATTTAAAGCAAAATCAAGATAAAAAATTTTAAGTAAAATAAATTATTTTACTTTCGGTTCAAAGAATTTTTTTTCAAAAATATAATTTAAACATTTAAACTTAAGGAAAATATAATTTCATTTACTAAACCAAATTTTATTCTCTCACTTTTTATTGCAAAACAACTCAAATAAAAAAATTGAATGAAAACATTAATTTATAAAATCATTTGGATGAAAAATTTATTTGTACTTAGATTTTTATTAGTACGCTATATCAAAAATAAATTAGAAAAAACATGGTTCATCATATCTGATGATTTTTTGCTTTTCAAAAAAAAAAATTTTTTCCAAATAGATTTTTTTGCAAATAGATTTTTTTGCATTAATTCGAGCCCTGTCATTTGTTGATTTATTCAGTAAAACTTTTCTTTTTTTTCATGCAAGTATCCTTTTAAAAAACAGCAAATATTCAGAGTAGTGTTGTCCATTCTGCATCATAATTTGGTTAAAATTACAATGGCAGCTGAAAATGCCCCAGCAACAAATCAATACTCGATTTAGATTTAGCATTATAAAATTAAAATATTTAATTTTTGTATTTTTAATATTGCCATTTAGAGCAGTGGTGGCCAAAACACTGCCCGCGGGCAAAAAATTGCCCACAGAGACTTTTTTAAATGCCCATTAAACAATTTGAATATTTAGGAGACAACCATCTTGGTAATGCGGTAACTTTTATCTACCTCAAAAATCAATCCAGACATCAAGAAACTAGTTTCAGACGATCAAGTTCACCACTAATTCTGTAATATCTCATTTTTTAACGGTGACGGTTTAAATATTTGCACTTAATTTCTTTTTTATTTATTTGTTTTTTGTTTTTTTGGATTCAGAATATGAATCAATGTCAATTGATTTATTCAAGCAGATATTTCTATTGATTTAAGATCGTAAGATTTCTTTTTACTTTGCGGTAGTGGTGTAGTGGTAAAATGCGGTAGTGATGTAGTGGTAAAGCGCTCGCTTCATAAGTGAGAGGTTTGGTGTTTAATTTCCATCATGTCCCTGGTAGTACCGCGCTCAACTTGTTTCTCCGCGCAGCGGCCTTGTTTATCAAGGTTCGTGTTTCGAAGTTATAGAGTTGAGAGAGGGTTATATATTCACAATTAAGTAGCCTCCTCATGTGTAGTGGCCTTTTCGGCCTTGGGGAGGTGAATTACAAAAAAAAAAAATAATAATAAAAAAAAAACAAAAAAAAAACAAAAAACTTTATATAGAACATCTACAACTGCAAGTTGAATTACACAGGCCAAACACAACTGCTGACCAGTTGCAGGCCTTCTTGTAAGAGGCATGCAATCGCACGTCTTATATGACCATGCATATAGTTCTTTGTTTTATCAACTTGACCTCGGCTCTTTGCAAGTTTTGATAATTAGCGCGTTTAAAAAATGCTCTAAAAAAAACAACAAATGTGATTTTGAATTTAATTGATTCCATAAGTACAATTAAACTACCACAAAATTTCCTGAGTACTTTAACGCAACTTAATTAAAGGCAATCATTGAAAAAAATATTCAGATTAGAGTTTAAGGCAAAATGAGTACAGAAGCTATCAGAAAATAATTTAAAACCATTTTATCATGGAAATATAATTTCTAATTAAGAAATTATTTACTACAAAAAAAGGAATTACAATAATCTTGAAACAATCGCATCTGCCAATTTTTTTTTTTTCCCAGAGCGTGATATATCGTTTTTTTTTTTTATTTACGCTGACTTGTGTATCTTTAATTATTGACGAATGTCTAATTTAAGAGATTTTTGTCTAATAAAATTCAAATAATTTTTATTCTAGTTAATTATATATCAAGTTATTAAATATATCATATAATTATATATCAAGTTATTAAATATATCAAAGATGCTTGGTAAATTTATTCAATTTTTATTTTTTAAAAACCTTTTTTTTACACATTTGCAAAGTGCGCACAAATTAATGATAAATGCACAATAAAAAAACTTTTAAAAGTGCAAAAGTTTTTAATATGCAAACAAACATTATTTCACTTTATGGAAAAAAAGAAAATTTTAAAATAAGCATGCTAAATTTTATTTATAATGAATACATTTGCTTTAAACTTTTAATGTAATTGCAAAAAACATAAAAGAAACCATCATTAAACATAATGATTGCTATCTTTTATTTTCTCAATAAAAGATAGCAATCGAAATGTTTGAGCATGGTTTCTTGATGTTTTTGCGAAAGCATTCATTTTAAGTAAAATTATGTATGCTTTTGTGAGCGCATGCAAAAACCATGTTAAAACATAATTATTTTTTTCTATAGCGTATTTAGTTATTTTACTTAAAAGTGACGCAATTGAAAAAAGTACTTATGTTTTGGCATTAATTTAAGCCTGTGAAATTAATTGTTTTTCATATTAAATAGGTGTTTTTTATAATAAATAAAAAACTAATGATCGCAAAATTATTTTGAAAGAATTTGCTTAAGTAATACGTTCGTTTTGAAAAAACCTAATCAAACGGCAGAAAAACAAACATCATGTTTCTTTAATTTTGCATAAGCAAAATTAAAGAAACGTGATGTTTGTTTTTCTGTCTGTCTTTTAAGAAATGCGGGCATATTTGTCGATTTGTCGCACCCTGTATCCTATTAATTTTTTAATAAAATTTTAAACTTGCACCACAACATTTTATTAAATTTCATGGCACTTTTAAACAGCCTAAGTTCCGTTTTTGAAAATCGATTTCTAAAAAAATAAATAAAAATTCTGAGAAGAGGGGGGGACCCTTTCCCTCACAATGGATTCGCCTTTGTATTACCCTAATTATTCATGGGAAGGAATGATAAAGATTATTAGAGCTGTAATAATTTTTTTTTTTACTTTTGCTTACAATTAAGTTTACATTAATTAGTAAATGTTTTAATTTTTTTTCCTGGTTTTTCCTTTATTTATTTTATCATTCTTTGAATATTTTATTTTTTTAGGTTAATTTTTGTATTGTATATTAATTTAAAGATTTTATTATCTTTTCAGTTTATGAATTGTTTATTTTAATTTTAATTTGCTTTATTTTTTTTAACGCACTTTTTAAACGCGCTAATTATCAAAACTTGCAAAGAGCCGTGGTCAAGTTGCTAAAACAAAGAACTTTATGAGTGGTCATATAAGGCGTGCGATCGCACACCACTTACGAGAAGGCCTGAGTTGATACTAATAACTGCATTATCAAGTAAAAGTAATAACCGTTTGTATTTAATTTATGTTTTAATATTTTTTATTTGGTAGATTTTGGAAGTTAATCATTAATTTTTACTATATAATAACTTTTACTTTTTGTTAACTATTAACTATTAATAATAGCGCTTAAATTTAATGCTTTCAATGATTTTTGAAGGTCATTAGATGTTATAAAAATTCTGAATGAAAGCTCATTAAATGTTTTAATTCAAGCTAAGATTGCTGCCTGTAAGACTTTAATAGTTATTTTAAAATATATAATTATTTTTGGAGTCGGCTTATCAGATTTTGAATTGGATTCACCAAATTAAAATCTGATAAGCCTCAGATTTTGAATAGCAGGTCTTGCGATAAAGCGTCGGGCGATGTGAATTTTACGTCGTCCAAGGGCGATTTTGCGTGTAGCTAGGGCTATTTGCGTCGAGCAAAAAATTTTTTGTTTGAGTATATTTAAAGATATTTTTGAGCGGAATTTTAATGAAGTAATTTACGATTATTTTAACATTTAATAAAGTATTTTAAAAACCGCACGCAGTTGAAATAAAAGTTTGAATTTAAAAAAATTAAATATGCTCATTATTTACAAGTAGAAAAAATTCAAAAATTAAAAAAAAAGTTTAAATCTTTTAAGCTAACATTTTAATAAAATTATTCAGCAATAGCAACGTTGTCGATAAAATTGAACAAAAATACTTTCTTTTAGTTTTAGATTTTAAACTTAAATAATTATTTTACAGGGGTTTGATAGGTTAAAATTATTCCATAGATTTAAAAATATTTATTAACTGTTAGACGTATTTAAAGTATTTAAGAGTGATTTCGAGGAAACATTTTAAAAATTGGTGAGGGCAAATAAAAAAAAAAAAGATTAATATTAAAACGTATTCTACTTGATTCAATAAAAAAGTACAGTTATTAAAATTTTTGTAAAAAGTAACTCAAAAAAATTACTTAAATAATAACGATCGCTTTTATGTTAAAAGTTACCGAAACTCATCGAAGCGTGCTCAAGCTGCTGAAAAATAGAACGTCAATAGTTTTTCGAATAATTTTTAAGAATAATTTTTTCGCTGAAATATTTCTTTTATACCTATAAAATTTTTATTCTAACATTTTATTTTATTTTACTAGAAATAAAATTCCTTGTTAACATTAAAAATCTATTCAAAACGTTCGTTTAAGTTTTTTATTAATACGAGTGATTGTGCTTATCAACCGCTTTATGAAAATAAATAAAAATAAATAAATAAATATTATATAAAATCACTTGTAAAAATATTAGCTATTGCACAGTTTTTAATCGTACAATATTAAAACTTCCAGTTTATTACTCGCTGACTTTTTAAAAAGAATAAATAATTATTTGAAAAACTTTAAATTACATATTTAAGAAAAAAAAAATCAAATATTAGCATATTTTATAATCTTTTTTAAATTTAAGTTATAATGTTTTTTATTCGTTTAGTATAGACAAAACGTGACAAACGTCGAGAAAATAAACAAATGTTTTTACATTTTAAAAAACGAAACATTCCAAAACATTTTTAAATAATAACATTTCTACATAAACGATTTAAAGTAGTTTTGCGGTAATTAAATAAATTGGTGTAGTTAATGTCGATAAATATGAAAAGCAAATAAAAAGAATTTAATGACGTCAAAAATCACGTCGTGCTTATGCGTCGCGCAGTTCTTATTCATCGCAAGGCCTGGAATAGGTGAATCCAATTCACCAATTTTTTCATAGAAATTGTATTTAAAATTTTTTCTATATTTATAATTTATAATTTGAAATAAAATGATGTGATGCTAATATTTACATAAATATTGGTTTACTTTAATTAAATTTTTCATTATATATTTATTTAGAAAAGTAAACAAAGGATACAAACATTATTTAAATTAAAGATTAAAAAAACCATGATAAAAATTCTGAAACAAACTTTAAACTGACGCAGAAAAAATAAGCTAAACCTTAAACACTTGTGAACTTTGTTTGATCTTGGTTGTCATAAAAAAACAATATTAGTATAAGCATATTATCTTACCCTAGTATGGTTGTCATAGAAGAAATAATATTTATTAGTTTTTAAATAGATAAATACCTTTGGAGGCTTGAAGGGATAATCTTGTGGAAATGTGATATCCAAAAAAAATATTCCTCCAGCATATGGGGAACCTTGCGGCCCCATTATTGTAGCCAGCCATTCATATAAATTGTCTCCTTTTGGAGCAGCACTAAATTACATAACAGCAAAAATTTTATTAACAGAAAAGAATTTCAGAAAATTTGAATTAACAAACACAATAGAGACCTGCAATTAGGAGGAGGATCAAGAGATAGTTCTCCAAGCTCTCTTTGTATTCTGAAACAACCATTTATTTAGAATAAAATTTACAAGTAAAAATTGTAAAAAAAAAATATAAAAATATCTTTAATAAGCATATGAAATGGATTTTAAGTTAACCACAAGTTTTAAAAATTACAATGGTTATTTTTAGAACTTTTTGTATATCTAGGTTAAATAACCTAGATATACAATGTCTTTTGGAAAGCAATTATTTTTGAGTTAAGCAGTGATAAATAGACAATGAATCACAAAAGAATATGCTTATATCCATTAACAGCACACAGGATTCACTGTATCATAAAAACACATAGGATTCACTGCATTATAGCAACACACTGGATTCACTACATCACAATAGCACACTGGATTAACTTAGAGATTAGATCAATGACAGTAGTTTTTTGTCTTAAAAAATTAATCTCACACAGGTATAAAGATATCAGGATTTTTTAATTTTCTTTTATTTAATTCTTTGATATTTTTTTTTATACCTGGATAGCTCAGTTAGTTAGAGCATCAAACAAAATGTTAATAACATGGACTGTTGTGCAATTTAATTTGTAACAGATGCTACATTGAACTAGTCTTTATGATTATTTGTCGCTGTTCCTATGCTAAGCCAACTATATTTTTGGATATAAGAGCATCATATAGCAAAATATAGCATGAAATTCAAATAAATAAGTTTTGTTATTTTTTTAAAATCTAAGTTTTGTTATTTTTTTAATAATATAATAATAATTCAAATGCTGTTAATATAGAGCGCCAGGCAATATCTATGACAGCCAACACAATACTTGTCTAAAAATTTAACTGCAACCTGTTAATCTTGTTCAATATTATCTGCAAGTCAATCAGTCTGGATTTAAACTCTTCGACTGATGAAGACTTCACTACCGATTCCGGTAAATTATTCCATCTAAAGACATCCCTGTTTGTAAAGAGTGTTGTGTATTTAAACAATTTTTAACAAACTGATTTAACACGATGTTTATAACCTCTAATATTGGATGCAGGACCTGGTGTATTGATTGAATGCATTTGTAACTGGACTTTCTTCATATCAATGGATTCAAAACCTTTATATAATTTATACTGTTGTATAAGGTCACCTCTTAGTTTTTGAACTTTTTAAGTTGTTAGATCTTATATTCTCAGTCTTTAATTATATCTCAGATGTCTTAATTCTGGTATCAATTTAGTTGCTCTTCTTTGAACTTTCTTAAGTTCTTTGATATCTTTTTTATAATAGGGATTCCAAGCTTGAATCGCAAACTCCAAATGAGGTCTAACGTACGTGCAATAAAGCATTTTCATGAGGTACTTATCTTTATATCCAAAAGTATTATTTAATATTGAAAGCATATTGTTTGCTTTACTGGCAGCATTCCTTACTTGTCTTTCCCATTTTAAATCCTTGGATATATAAATACCTAAATCTTTTTTAAGAGTAGATTTTTCAATTTCTTTTAGTTCACCATCATTTTTCATGAAATAAGAATATCTTTTATTGCTTGCACCAAAATGCATTAATTTACATTTCTCAAAATTCAAACCCAGTTTCCATTCAACAGACCCTTCTTCAAGTTTTTTTGTCATTTTGAAATGATTTTGAATCAACCTTGGTATAAATAACAGCGATAATTTTATTGTCATCAGCATACAAACAACATTTATTAAGAAGTCTGCTTGGTAAATTGTTTATGAATATCTAGAAAAAGAGTGGGCCAAGAACAAAACCCTGTGGGACTCCACTTAACACATCAACCCAATTTGCCTTGCATTTTCCCACCACTACTCATTGTTTCCTATTTGATAAAAATGATTCAATCCATTTAAGAGACATACCAACATTACCGGAAGCATAAACCTTAGCACATAATTTTATGCGGGATACTATGTCGAATGCTTTTCGAAAGTTGGTATACAAAATGTCAATTGGAATACCGTATAATAATGCATTTGTTAAGGTATCAAAAAAAATTTAATAAATTTGTTGTACAACTCTTACCTTTTAGAAGCCATGTTGTTCCTTTGCTAATAGTTTGTTTGTTATTAAATGCTTGATTATATTATCAGCAACTATTCTTTCTAATATTTTGCATGGTATTAACGTCAGAGATACTGGTCTGTAATTTGTTGGTTTCAACTTACTCCCTGTTTCAATATAGATGTTATATTAGCCTTCTTCCAAATATCAGGTACAGCACCATTTTCTGTAGATTTTTTAAATATTAAATAAAGAGGATATGAAATTGATGAACTGCATTATTTTAGAACAAAAGGATGTATTAAATCATCTCCAATTGATTTTTCATCTCATCAAATCATCTCCATATTGATCTTCCAATTGATATATCAAGAGCCTTTAATCATTTCCTGTTATCTCAACAGCTTCTAATATCGTGTTTAGTTGACAGTTTTCAATATTTTGGTTTACATCTTTATCTTCTAGATATACAGAATGCAAATATTTATTAAATTCTTCAGCAATAGCCATTTGATCAGTGACAATTTTTTTCTCACTGTTCTTGATCGATGTAATTTGATTTTTTACCAATTTTTTCTCATTAATATACATACAAAGTAGCTTCAGATTTATTTTACAATTATTAACAATCTCCTTCTCAAATGACTTAATGTTTTCCTTTGTTTCGTTTCTGATTTTAATTTTTAAACAATTATATTAAGTTTTAATTGATTAAAAAAGTTCCTAATTAGTTGATTTGTTTAAAAGCTACATTTTATTTTTTAACTTAATTTTTGATTTTAGAGCAGGAGTCGTCCAGCTTTTTTATTATTATTATTTGTTTTAGAGTTTTTAATTACTGGAATATATTCTTGTGACGCATAATTGTAATGAAACAGAAACAATTCATACTGTGCATTGATTAATTCGTTGTTAAATTCCTTAACCCAATCGACGTTGTCAATATACTTTGAAAATAACTTGTAATTACCTTTATGATACAATTTTATAGGCTTCTTAAGTTCATTACTCAGATTAGATTCTTTTAGTATTTAGTTTTTTAGTACATATTTGCATTTTAATAAATGATGACCTTGCTTTGTATCACCTAAAAGGGATAAGTGAACAATAGAACAGACTTTTTCTTTATCGTAGTAATTAGAAAATCCAAAACATTTTTTGAATCAAAGTTTGCTTTTTGGTAAGTTGGATCACTAATGCATTGATATAAGAAGCAATTTTCAAGACAACCTATAAATTTATTAGGTTGAGAATCACTCTTAGTAGAAGAGAAAGGGGAATTAATTTCGGACCAATCAATCGTGTTATAGTTAAAATCACCGGTAATGGTTAAATCACTAAATATTTTACAATCAATACTTAATTTAGAAGAAATTATCAATTCCAGAATGGTATTGTTATTATCCTGAGTTGCTGATGGTGATCGATATATGCATCCATTTAGTACTTTTTTATTACCAAAACATAAACAAGTCTATATCTGTTCAATATCAATACAATTTAGTTGCTTAATAATAATTTCTATTGAATTTATGTTGCTTTTTGCGTAAATACAAACTCCACCTCCATATTTCAGCCTATCTTTTCTAAAAATGTTATAATTGATCATGTTAACATCTGATCCAACAGTAAACAATGTTTCTGTGACACAGATTACATCCTTTTCATAAATATGTGTCAGAAATCTTAACATGTCAATTTTATTATTAAGAGATGTTGGATTTGTATACTATTTTATTAACTCTAGATTATTAGTAACTTTTGATAAAACTAGATTTTACTTTTTTGTCTTGATTAATTGAGCCTGGTGAAATTCTGCCATTATTGAACACATTTTTATATTCCATAAAAGTTAATGACTCGTAATTAATTAGTTTTGATTTCGGGTTATTTATAAGTGATTACTATTAAAAAATTTTAACAAGTTTGTTATTACGTATACCATAATGGTAAACCAAAGGTTATAAATTTTCTAAATTTTGTTATTTGCACTGATCTCAATATATTGATCTCACTGATCTTTTGTCTCCCTCTTACGTAATTTGGATATACAAGTTTAGTAATTGCTGTTCTAAATTAATAAAAATAACTAAGAACAGCAATTTAGATTGTACAATAGATTGAAAATGAGGATATTAATACATCAGTATTAATAGGCACATAGTATTAATGTTACAGTATGTGCTATAAATATAACATATATAAAGCTTAAACTTATATAGTTTTAAAACCTTAAACATCTAAAAGAGATGATCAAAAATTTTTAAAAAGTATCAATATCTCAAGTGTTTATTGTTTTCTTAATTCTAAACACATTTTATTGTTTTGTTTTATGTTTTGTATTTTTTTAATTACTCTTTCTTGATTTAATTTTTTTTTTTTTTTTTGGAGGGGGGGGGGGGGGGAGGGGGGATTTTTATTTCATATCTGTTCAAATTTTTTTATTTGTTTAATGATATTGAAAATTGGAATAACTTTCTATTATAACTTTATTTAAAATATATTTGATATAATGTTATTTATTAATTTATAACAAAAAAAGATTTTTAAACATAATTTTGAAAACTTTAAAAGAAAAGAAAAAACTCACAATAAACCTATATGTATTGGTTTATTTTTTATTAATTTATTTTTTATAATTAAAAATGTCAATAGTGCAAATAAATATGTTTTTTGTATATTAATTTTAGTATTTTAAATAAATAATAACAACAACTATTTAAATAATACTAATAACAATAAAAAAAAAAAAGAGAATATGTAGGTAGGTGCATATCAGTTGATTTAACAATTAAAGTATTCAACTATTTTATCATAGCTTGCCTGGCATATGTGTTGTAAAGATATTTTTTGTCTTGCTATTTTTTTAAATTTAATATGAACATATTTACTTTATAAAAAGTAAAAAAGTTAAACTTTACTTCTGTGTAGTTCTTTTTTTCACTTATCTTTGCTAATATTGAATTTACTTATCAATAAAACTTTGTTGTTATTCAGATATAAAATTGATTTTGAAGGAATGGTGAAGCTTTTAAAGCTAAAGCATTGTAAATAAAGCAAAAGATACCACAAACAACAACAAAGTTCCATAACAAAGCTACCCTTACCCAAATATGACATTCTAAAATTGATCACAGTTTTATTAAGCAATTTAATGTTGTAATCAAATTGTGTTACTTAAATGGGCTTAACTCTTTGCAGGATTGTTACTTTTTTAATGAAATGTTTATATTACAATACTAACTTAGCCTTTTTCTAATAAAAAATAACAATCAAATATATTATTAGTTTGAAACATTTACATACATACCTATAATATGACAATTAATTCAAAGATTTCAAGTCACAATTTAATTCACATTTTAAAGATATTACAATTACAAATTAGCGTTATTATTATTTCAATTTTTCATTTAATTTTTTTTTCAACTGTATAAAATTATTAACTTTTAGATAAGCTATGTATATGATCATATGATCAATTTAATAATAATTAAAAAGCAATTTTTAAATATTCATAGACTTTATACTTGCTTAACTTAGAAACTTTTTTTAATTATAGTAAATAAATTTTATATATATATATATATTTAGTTATTATTTTATATTTCTATACTTTCTACTGGATTCTAGTAGATTTACCTTCCAGCTCCTATTCTTTTTCGGGACTCTTTTTCTTTTTTTTTTACTTCTTGTTTCTCAGCCATTTTTTTGTTCCATTTGTGAAAATCGTAAAAAGTTATTTACTTTTTAGCCATACTCTGAATTCCCAAAACAAGTCGTTTTAAAGTTTTTAATGGAGCGCAAAAATGAGGCAAAAGCTTCATCTTCAACGCCGCTTTTATAAAACCTTAACGCTTTAAGTTTTTAAAAAGTTCAACGCTATAGAGAACTTTGCCTTTTTTCTACAGGGTTTTCAGTTTAAATTATTTTTTATTTAGCTTTTTTTAAAGGCCACACTTTCTAGTAAGTTGACATCAAATAGAAACTGTGGAAAATGACACCTTTTTATTCTTTGACGCGCTTTCTAAAATCGAAAAACGTTCTAAAAATAAAGGGATTTTAAATATTCTTAGTCTACATTGTTATGCGCCTAATTCTACTTTAATAAAATTTGAAATTTAATTATAAAATATAAGCAGTTTTAAAGTCAAGCCAGGGCCGCCTAGATGGAAAGGGGGGCGTTGGGTACATTTTATTTAATTTTAATCTTTAATTCCTTTGAGAAATAAATACTATATAAAAAATTCATTTCGATTTTGAAGCAAATGAAAAACTTTTTTTATTTAAAAAAAAATAAGTAACACACATCTTAGAGTAAAAATGTCATTTCCAGTTTTTGAAAGCATTATTCAGGGTCCCAAGGCAGAAAAAAGTTGCAAGAGTGTGGCTTCCATATAGTTTTAAAAAAAAGGCATCTTATAACTCTACGTACGACCAAATAGTCAAGGTATAGGTTAACAAATTTACTTTTTTATTCTCAATCTTATATTCATAATTTCATTCCAAAACTGTAAAAGCAGTTATTTTTTAAACGTACCACGCTACCATCAGCGATAATAAACCCGTGAGTCCCAGAAAGCCATCTTCCTCTTCAAATTTTTCAACGGTCTTTGAAAAAGATGATGATATAGGGTGAGTTTGGTACGCATTCTTGTTTTATGAAAAACCTGCAGATATTAAAAACGTATCATTTAATATCAGCATATTCTGAAGACACATAATTTAATATCTGCAGATATTAAAAACAAACAACAAATCTTAAATACCTTTTTTAATTTAGGATCAAGAGGCATTCAACAGGGTAATCAAGCAGTTAGAAACGACCCCGTTTTGTGGAGGAGGTTTTATTCAAAGTCGAACGCAATCTTGTTATACTAAATGGGCCACCTCAGAATCCAGCACTTTTTCGTAGAGATTCTACAGACAAAAAAGTTCCTGCCTCCATTTTTTACATAACTTCTCTCAACGGAGAGAATATTAACAGAAACTGGCATACCTAGAGTTAAACTGCAAAAGCTTTTGTTTGTTTTCCCTGCTCTTTTATTAGACAAAAGTATAATTTTGGCCCTGAATTTCAGTCTCTCCTATGGAATAGCGGAATAAAATATAATTGGCGAAAGCTAGAAAAAAAGATTAAAATCCACCAGTGTAATGCTTAACACAGAAATCACTACATCGTCTGGAAATTAACTTTTTAAGCCTTGCAAAATCAGACCGGGATTGATTCAGAAAATTGAAAAGTCAATAAGAAATAAGAATTTTTTTTTTTTTTACAACTTTAATAAATTTACACATCGTTACGTTATAACTACATGACATAATATAATCCAACGTAAAAATATAACATAATAATACCACGTATAACATAGCATAATAAAAATTGGTTTAATAAGTATAACTAAGTATAGCGTAAATTAATAGTGTTGCTTATCATAAAAACTACCAATATTTTTAAAAAATAAAAGACTAAAAATAAGAAAAGAAAAAAAAAGACAAGAATTTTTTTGATACTTAAGATATATACATGTTGTTGTAAAGAAAAACTCGTAGAAGTTTATGAAGACTTTTCATCGAGTACCTCTTTAAATGATTAAGTAAAGTCTATTTCATTTTTATATATACTCAAAAGTGGTTAAACAATATACAGTCAGTGATACACATAAATATTTAGTATAAATTTTAATGTTAAGTTTAATACATGTTGATATAATTGTTGGTATTAAGTATGAGGTGTTTTAATTTATTTTTCAAGTTTGCAGCATAATTTAATACTTTAAGTTCTATACTTTTGGATACGATTTTGTTATACAGGTACGGACCCCTGTAGGAAATAGAAAAACGTGAGAACTTTGTTGTTCCTTTGGGCAATGTGAAGTTGCCTGTTGCTCTTGTTAGATACCTATTAGAGTTTACTTGAAGGAAGTTATCTAAAAAATGCGACGGAACTAATCTAAGTTTGTATTTAAGCATAAATAGTACATTTTGGTAGATGTTGATTTGGTAAACATTTAGTGCATTCAAGGTTTTTAGTAAGGCTTTATAAGAGTTTATCTTTATTATAAACTAATCTTGATGCATGTTTTTGACTTATTTAAATAGTACTCAATTTGGATTTGTGTGTACTTGCCAATGTAATATTAGCGTATGTCAGATAACTTTGGATATATTAGCGTATGTAAGATAACTTTGGATAATATTAGCGTATGTAAGATAACTTTGGAAAAATAAAGCGATTTAAGATTATGTTGGGATAACATAGGTTTAACTTTGTAGAGTATCCTGATATTTTTTGAAATTTTGGTGTTTATTGAACTTATATGGGCTCTCCAAGATATATTTTTGTCAATTATTATCCCAAGAAATTTAGTTGTTTCTGTTCTTTCAATATTTACCTTATCTATTTTTAGTGAGGGAAGGGTAGTTGGTATACTATTTTTTTGTTTTTTGGAATGAAGCAATATGTATTTTGTTTTTTGTGTATTTAGTGATAACTTATTTAATTTCAACCGTATATTTAATCTTTTAAGCTCTTTGTTCATACATTCAAAAAGGTCTTTGATTGAGTTTGATGAATAAAATAAGTTTGTGTCATCTGCAAACATAAAACATCAAGTTTTTCCGAGGCTTTTGTAAGGTCGTTAGTATATAGAAGAAACAGAAGAGGTCCAACAATGGAACCTTGGGGGACACCGCACTTAACTCTTAGTAGTTTTAAGTGTTTATAATTATCTGGAAAAACACATTGTTGTCTGTTACTTAGATAGTTTTTGAACCAGTCAAGGGTTATATTTTTTATCCCATAGCTTTCCATTTTTTTATGTAAGGTATTATGATTTCTAGTATCAAACGCTTTTGACAGGTCTATAAAGATACCTAGAAAAAACTTTTTTTTATCAAAAGAATCACTTATATTGTTAACTAGATCTAGATTGCGTGTTCAGTTGAATATTGTTTTTGGAAACCAAATTGCTTTTTATGTAGGATTCTATTTTGGATTAAATACTCATACAATCTGTTATAGATTATTCTTTCAAGAAGCTTAGAAAAGGTCGGGAGTACCGAGATTATTAATTAAGTATGATTCACCTGTTTTAAATATTGGTACTACTTTAGCTTAACCGGTACAAATCTTGTTTTAATCGAAGAATTAAAAGTTTCAAATATAGATTTATTTATCGTTGTAAAGACATTTGCCACTACCCTACTAAAGATATCAACTATACCTGGAGTTTTATTTAATTTTAAGGAACTTAGAGCAACATTTAGTTCATGGTAGTTTAGTTCTTTGTATTTTAGTTCGCTTAGGTATGACTTAAATGAGTTATCAGGAAACTTTATTTTTGAGGCAAGATTAGGGGCAATATTAACAAAAAACTCGTTGACTTTTTCAGCAATCTTAATTTTGTCACTGTACTCTATATTGTCTATGACGATTTAAGCAGGTAAATTATTTAGTTTAACTTTTTTGTTCCCAAATATCTCTTTTATCGTATTCCATGTTTTTTTAATATCAACAACTGCATTTTTTATTCGGTTCGAGTAGTAATTTTTCTTCGAACTTTTTTTATTCTTTTAAATAAATTTTAATATTGTTTGTAAGTATTTAAATTTTTTTCATTTCTATTTTTTTAATACTTGATGTAAAGTTTTTGTTTTTTTTAAGATTTTTTTATACCTTTAGTAATCCACGAACATTGTAAGTATTTTACTTTTAATTCTTGTTCTATTATAGGGAAGTGATTATCATAGTACTTTAAGAATATTTCTGTAAGCGGAGTATAATATTCATTATAAGCGGAGTTGGTATGCCCAAGGTTGAACTCTTGGTAAATCCTGTCGCACCTCACAGCCGATATTGAGTTATTAAACTGCTGAATAATAAAATTATTAATTTTTCGTTTATAGACTTTGATTTTAGAGTTATTATTTTTTGTATCTTGAAAAAAGGAAAAGTATATTAAAAAGCGATCATATATATCCGTATTGATTACACCTGCTTTTTATGAAGAATCATAAAATGAATTAGTCAATATGTTGTCTATTGCAGTGATTGAATTTAATGTTACCCGGGTTGGTTGGTTTATTATAGGAAAGATGTAGTGTTGAAACATATCGTCAAAAAAAGTTTTGTTAACAGCATCTTCATTGCACTGTAGACAGTTTATATTTATGTCACCAATACAGAATAATACTTTGTGCTCTTTGTTACTTTTTAGAAATAATTGTTTTAAGTGATTTTAAAAGTTTTTTATATCACCTTCGGGCGGTCTGTAAGAGGTGGGCACTAGTATACTTTTTAGTTTTTTGTTTATTATTTCAATTGTAAAGACCTCGCCATCGGCATCAAAAACTGAAAGATCATCTCTAAATTTAGTTGTCAGATCATTATGAATGTATATCATAATTCCACCTCCTCGTTTTTTCTTAATTTTTTAAAATTTTCTTATTTCGTAAATTCGCGACAAAAAACTTTATTAAATTTAATTGTTGCTTATTTACCTTGGTTGCGAAGATTTTTGACTTCTTCCCAAAGTTTCTTTCTCTCTTCCATCGTCTCTTTAGCAAAGTCTTCTTGTATATATATTTATTTTTCCATTATTATTGATGGAACTCCGGACGTGTCTCATACGGAACAAATCACTTTCGTTCTTTGATTTTTCCGCCTATGATCTGGCAACCAATGGGTAGTAAAAGTTTTCTGAAGGTAGAAAATCTGGAGAAAAAAAAGTGTTTTGATATTGCGAAGCTGGTCATAGACGTTTTGGATCAAAGTAAAACTGATTTAAAAAACTGTAG